CACTGCAGCTGCCTGCACACCACACTGGCATCATTCATGTCCCACTGATCATCCAGGACTCTGCTCCATGTTCCACCGAGGGAAATCTCGACTCGCCCATCGCACCGGCTCTCTCCATTCAACAGTATAAGCGATTCAGAGCGACCTGGCCTCAGGAGAGAAAGAAAATGCATTGAACATCACTTTCTATTTTCCATTATATAACATGCAGAATGTATGCTTGAAATTACACTGGTTATCAAATACTCAGAGAACTACAGTGATAAGAAGAACAACTGCTGTTATGAGGATTTCAGGAGAATCCTTTATTAGAATTTTTATACTCAAGGCTAGAGCCCTGGCAGAGAGTTGTTAGCCAGGACCTCCGATTAAGTGCATTCCTTGAGGCCAAGGAACAACACTGGACTTTTGCTTGTCAGCCATCAGAGCTCTCTTGGCAGCGAGTGTGGAAAGATTAGACCCTATACCTGAAGTAGCTCTGCTGGCAAAACCCCTGGTATGGATGCACCTTCTGCTTTCTCCTTGCAGAGCTCCTGTTGTCAGGGGTAAGGGTGTAGTTCCAGCAAAAGAAAAATGCCTGCCACCAGATGGCCAAGGCAACTTTGCAGTGATGCCCTAATTAAAGTAGAGGCAGTCCAAGCTCTCCCTGACATTATATAAACAGCCTGAGGAAGGTAGAGAGAAGATACCATAGCTTTGACTTCTGCTGGGAGACATCCCAACAGGTGATTGAAGGTGCTGATTGAAGGTGTCTCGGTGTCTAAGAATATGCTTCACTCCTCTGCATCTGCTGCCAGAAATTCTAGCAGCAAACAGTAGCTATGGCCACCAAGATGCTAAAGGATATGTTCACCTGCATGCTTCTGGTAGCTCTGGGCAGCTCCAGTCAGCTGCCGTGTGCCACATTACGAAGTATAATTTAAGGTACCACCTGCTGAATGAACCATGGCAACTGCCTGAAGGAGTGAGGGTGTCTTGACTCTCATCGGGCTACTGGGTGGCAGCAGGAGTTTTCAGTGAAGATAGAGTAACTCTTGTGGCAGAAGGGAAGGTTCTTCTGCTACTAAAGGGCAATGCTTAGGCTTTGCCCCGTTCACTACAGTCCTTGCCCTCTCTGCAGAGAATGCAGAAGTGGTCTCACAGAGGAGGGTGATGCTTGTGGCCAAGACAACAGAGCTATGATGCAGGAGTAGTGATCATAAGGTCCAATATACACAGAGAATGACAAGAACTACACGGCACATTATATTCTGGAACAATAAGCAATCCCTGTAGACTATGTCTCTCTCTGAGTAACTGAACTGGCTAGCTATTTCACTAAGAAACCTTGCCCCAATTACCAAATCATCTAAATTAGGGTGCATCTCTAAGTAATAACTATCACTGTAATAGGTTCTTGCCCCATTGCACTAAGAAAGCAAAACAGAAGTGACTATATAAAAGCAGTGACTATATAAATAAAAGCAGTGTCCTCTTAGATATTCCTCCACTATGAAGCAGGTGAGGGAAGTGGAAAATGGTTGAGTGGAAAATTCTTGTACCAGTGTTTTTTGGGGCCAGACTCATTGTTTTCTTTGCTCACCTGAACAAATCACACTGACATCACGGTCATGGAAACACTGAGAGACTCCCAGGGCAGTAACCGGGCAGTGCCATAAATGGGGTTCAGTCCCATTACAGTGGAATGTGTCTCTCCAGACGGGCCCCGTTCCTCTCCCAAAATGCCCTCCTCCTGGAGCCAACACTGCAAATCCACAATCAAGCTGACGACAGAGAACGTGGGCATCTGATAAATCCCAGCGCGAGTCACACACGGTGCCCCAGGCACCGAGCAGCTGGACCTCCACTCTCCCTGAGCACTGTGTGCTGCCGTTCACCAGCCTGAACCCTGTGAACCCTGAGGAGAAGAGAAGATGGACAGTGATTAGAGAGGAGCACAACAATGCATGTCTCATTTTATACCAAATAGTCAAAGAACAGGAAATCAGAAAATGACACCCCTTTCTGATTATCTTGGCTTTTCAGGGATTTTACCAGAAATGGATTACAATTCTGCTGTCCTTCCTTCCAGCAAAGGGATATCTCTTTATTGCTCTACCCAAGCCCAAAATTCATATCAATGCTGTCTTGGTGTTGTGTATGTAGGTTTGAAAGGGTGAGCCTTTGTTGGGAAAGACAGCTTATAAAGAAAGAAAGAAACACATTAATAAATTCTAATATAATAAAAGCTTTGTCTGTGTCTCTGTTTGTCCATAACACTCTGGGCTAACTGCACATGTGCCGCGAAGAGGGATGGTGCTGATTGGCTAGCCCAGGGGGCCCGGGCACAACTGTGTGCCAGGGCTCAGGGGAGTGAGCGGATGTGGACGAAGGGCAGGGAGCCACCGCACTGCACTTCCCCTCAACAGCAGCCAGCAGGGAGGGGAGCAGGGAGTGGGTGGAGGAGCAGGGAATGGGGGTTGCAGCAGCCACCACCACCACTGGAAGAGCCATGGGGGACTGGGGCTTGGGCTGGGGCTATGCTGGGCTGTTCCTGACTTGGGCGAGGGCTGCATTCAGACCAGACCAGGTCCTCGGACAATGGGAGTCCAGCAGCTCCTCTAGGGCCATAGCTGGTCAGCTCCCGCTGCTATTTGCTCTGGGGGGAGCTGACAGAGGGCAGCACGTTTCCCTGGGGCCATCGGAGCCTGGTTGCTCCTCCAGAGGGGAAGGCAGTTGGCCCCCACTGCTGCACACACTGCAGGGGAGCCAGGGGAGGGGAGCACATTCCCCCCGCCCAAGCTTCCCTGCACCATGCTCCTGCACAAGCCACCAGGCTCTGATTGCCCCCTGGCCAGGCTGTTCACAGTGAATGGGGCACCCGGCCACACCAGGTGTGTGCAGTGTGTGGCATGTGGCTGGGTGCATGCAACATGTGGCTGGGAGCACGCATGTGTGCGGTGTGACTGGGTGTGTGCATGGGTGTGATGTGTGGCTGGGTGGGTGGGTATCACTGGGTGGGAGTGTGGTGGGTGACTGGGTGTGGTGGGTGGTGAGTAGTTGGGTGTGTGAGGTAGGTGGCTGTATGGGTGGGTGTGGTATGTGGCTGGGTGGATGTGGTGTGTGTGGCAAGTGTGTGGTAGGTGATGTGTGGCCTGGTGTGTGTCCAGTGTGTCGGGGGGCATACAGGGCCAACCACAGAGAGGGGTGGGGGAAGGTTGCATGCAGCCAGACACAAAACGGGTGGCACTCCGTCCCCACTGCCCACCCATGATTCATAATGGACACTTGGCTAGTAAATAAATAAATGGCTTCCTGCAAATGCCAGGGATTGGATTCAGTGTCTCAGGTGGACTGTTTTGGTACTACATTCCTATATTCCTATTTTTAAGCTACCACACTAAATTCTTACGTGAACATATGAGGCCAGCATCATCTGCATGTGAGCCTGTCTGATTCATGGGTGGTGCTCGGGGGCAGTACGCAAGATGAGACTCATTTCCCACACACTGAAACTCTTCAGTCCAGATTGGCCCTTGTCCTTCTCCAAAGTGATCTCCTCCTGTGATGGATACAACTGCTCCACACTGTAGCTCATTACAAATCACACTGGCAGCTTTAGGATCAAGGTGGGAATCACTGACAGTAGCCCAAGTGTGTCCAAGTCTTATCTCCAGACGTCCTGAGCAGGCATTGTCACCTTCAATCAGCCGGGGCTGTTTGTCACCTAGAGTCAATCAATCCATCAATGAATGTAACACTGAAACCCCTTGCCCTCCATTTCAGCTTTTAGTAAATGCAGATAATTTTTTCAAACCTTTTGCATGCCAAATTCTTTTAAAAATAGGCAATTAACCTCCCATACACACATTAATTAATTTTCTACTTCTCAAATATTTAATTATTAACTAATCACAAGGGATAGGGCACATGACTATTTTATTAAACACTTTGCTTTCTGATTAATTATTCTGATATTGTGTACTACACTGTTACTAATTGTTAACAAAAAGTTTTGTGGTTTCCACTTTCAGTTGAACAGGAAACAGCTTTAAATAATCCTATCACTTATACTCAAGAAAGAATACAGTAAGTAAGGCAGAAGAAAGAATAAGAAAAGCAAAGAGTGGAAGAAAGACAAGTTGTACTAGCTACAAACTGAAAGCTAAGCATCTACTCTTTCACTCTCTTGCAACGTGAATGATTTGTACTTGTGAAAAGTTATGCACACCCTCATTGACAATTCTACTAGCAATGTGAGCAAAAGAGTTATGGTTTGGAAACACCACACATTCATTTTGCACAGCTGAAAAAAACTACAGAAGGCTCCAAGGAAAGAAAAATTCAGTCTCGGTATTGGGAGGAACATTCAAACAGCCAGAGTGACTGTGGAGATGAATAACCCAGATTGGGAGGTAACCGTAACACCATTAGATGACTTATTTGAGTTCAGATACAGCTCTTTGCAGAAAATGAACATCAGGATGTTGTAGTTGCACCAAGGAACTCTCTACTACTACTACTATGCTTAGTTAACTGCTTGCTCGAGTTCCCCAGGACAGCAATGAGGAAAGCATGCATCAGATTCATGCATTATCAATGTAACAGAATTATACAGAATTCCACTACAGATTCTCTGACACTACATACTGGGAGCATCTACATGTCATGCTACATCACCACAGTGATGCACTATGTCACTACAGTGACATGCTACACCAATATAGCGACGATGTGCATCTACATGTCACTGACAACTACTTAGCCATAGCTGCACACTCCCTCATTTAACTGCACCATAAAGGCAAAGTAGCTGCTAAATCTTACCATGCACCAAGTGCATGGCACAGTGCAGGTGTTCACTGTGCCATAGGGCAACATGTAGACGTGTCCATAATACAATTTAGGTGCTCAGATACAATAGCTTTTAAATGCAAACAATGTTTCTGATTTGAAATGGAGTAAAAACCTATAAATGGTAAATAGTAAATATGGCATCGGGAGAAGTGGGCTTAGGTTAATCAAGGGATTCTAAAGACTTGGATGTCCTCATTCTCAGTGAGCATAACAGTTATAGGAGTTGAGGATATTTACCCACATTCCTGTTGTTTCAGAAGGATGAGACACGTTCTTTTTTCAGTCCCTTTTCTTCCATGGCAATTTCCTGACAGGTGGAAGGATGGCTAATTCCTTACCTGAGCATGTGACTCCAGTATAGAAAGAAGGAGGGCACGTGAACTCCAGAGAGTAGGAAGTTCCCTTGCATTCCATTACTGTTGTCTCATCACCACGACAAAGAATTACTGGAACTATGTACGGCATGAAATCCTCCACAAAATGGCTGGCGTTGTGGAAACTCACTGCTGATCCACACCCAAGTTCTCTGCAAATTACTTGAAACACTTTTATAGATGCAACAGGAAAACATATTTTCATGAAGAAATCGCCAAATTTTGCTTCCACTCTGCCAGCACATGGACTGCTACCACCGGTAAGCTTCCCTCCATGATATATACCTTCAGTTAGAGAAGCAGGACAGAATTACAGAAGAGCACATTGAGTCATATCTCCTAGGTATTGTACAGGCTAGGAGCTCCCAAGCTCATTTAATGGTAGTTGCCAAACAGTTTTAGGCAAATATCAGTGGTGTATGGCTTTTGTCATTCATCTCTAAATCAGTCTCCTGGACTTTTTAGTGTATTCACTATGTCTAACTTAGTTCTGCCTCATGAGATCTTACTCAGCTACTTCTGCCTGCTTCCTGTGGCACATATGAAGTAAGCACAGGATCTGGAAACAGCCGTCTCTAATGTTTTGCACACCTCAACACTGAAGTTGAAGAAGGGACAGGTTCTCTCCCCTCTTTGTTTCATCAGTCATAGAAGCTTGAACTGTGCATTCAGAGCCAGCCAGGTGTCTGCTCCTATGAAACTAGTCTCTGCTATTGCTGCCGGCTACCTTAACAGTACAAACACATTTTCACAGCTATCTGGGTTACAAGGAAGTCAGAGAATGAGATGAGCTTTTCATACATGTCATGCACCACACAGTCACCAAGGACATTTGCAAATTTTTGGCTGAGCCACTATATCTTGCTTTTTATATTCAATTGAGCAAAACAGATGGAGAACAGAGCAGAAACTCCTACCCCACTGGGACAGTGGTCCAGGTTAGGACCCACAGCCCTTTCCATTACAAAGCAACAGCCACCTCACTATAGCATCTCTTCCTCATGGCCCATGCATCTCTTTCTCTTGGCTGCACAGATTCAAGAGGTGGGCTGGAGAAGCCTAATCTACTCTCCCTGCTCCTCACGTCTGGATCTGGAGCATATTCAAGGTAATTCATATTTAGACTAGCCTGTACAAAGTTGAGGTAAATGGTACCCCTACCTGAAGCTTGGAAAGTAGCCATAAAATAATAATAATAATAATAATAATAATATTTGGATGTAAAATATGTCTGTTATTTCTGTCATTGGTACTATCAGCAACTCCACACTCAAACACTTCAAATTTTCACTAGAATCCATATATAAGAGGTGGAACAATTATTAAGAGATTTCATAGTATCCATCAGCTTCCCTTCAGACCAATAGCTTCTGAACTGCAAAACTACATGTTAAAGGGCAACTGCTGAAATGACCACTAACTCCTTCAAATAATGGTTCGCTTTCTATTAAAAGGAAAGGGAATTCAAGACAAGACCTAGGAACGTCCATAACAAAAAGCTTTGTTAACAGAGAGTTAGGGTTTCCTGGTGGTTCCAGGGGAGTATTCAGAATGCTGAATTAAGCAAAACTCCACCCAAAACCTGGGAAATTTAAGTCAAGATATATGCCTCCATAGCTTTAGATCTTTCCTCTTTGCCTGATATCCCAGTAAGCCCAAACTACACATACAGTCATTCTGCCTTTCAACTGCACTGGACAGGACCTGATTACAACTACCTTACTTTACAGTCCAGCAGTTTAAGGCTGGCAAAGGTAACCAAACTCTGGTGTGCATCCACTGATGCTTCTGAATCAAAACCTGGGAAGTCATCTAGGGCTATGCAAAGCTTTGGGTGGTGATTTGATTTGGAGGGGATTCAGCTTGATCCAGTGCCTGAATCTCTGAATCCAAATCCAATCAGGGGACCAATTAAAAGGTCTGAATTGATTCAAAGCACTCTGAATCTTTGGAAAACATTCAGAGAGTTTAGATGATTCAGAGAGTCCCCAGTGGCTGCAGCAGGGGGGTGGGGGACCAATTAAAAGGTCTGAATTGATTCAAAGCACTCTGAATCTTTGGAAAACATTCAGAGAGTTTAGATGATTCAGAGAGTCCCCAGTGGCTGCAGCAGAGAGCTGCAGCCGGACTACAAGCTGGTAAATACTAGGGGTGAGGGAGTCAGGGCTGGGTCCTGGGGGAGGGGACCATGGGGAGACCCGCGCCAGCCCCCATCCTCTGTCTGCACCCCCAGCCCCTCCAACCCCCACACTCCCCCAGTCCCGCTATGGCTGTCCCACCTGCCCCAGCTCCCAGTACTTAAAAAAAAGCCCCACTCAAGAGGTGCTGCCAGGCAGGAGGCAATCCCTGCTTCCCCCCACTGCCCCATGCTGCATGGGGGGCTCTGTAGTAGCCCCCTGATCCCCCCCTCACTCCCCCAGTACTCGCACAGGTGCCCTGCCCAGAGTCAGATCCGGCCCTTTCAAGAAAAAAAAAAGAGAAAAGCCCAGGGATGGACCACTCCTGCAGCAGCCTTGGGGCTTCAGTGGACAGGAGCGGTGAATCAGGGGTGGGTCTTTTTTTTTTTTTTAAATGGCCAGAACCATGATGGGCATGGCAGCTGTGCGGGGGCTGGGGGAGCATCAGGCGGGCAGCCATGGGGGCCCCCCATGCATCATGGGGCATGAGCTCTGCATGAGTCCCCCCATGCAGCATGGGGCTTGGGGTGGCAGCAGGGATTGCCCCCCAACCTGGCAGCACCCACTGAGTTGGGGCTTTTTATTCCCCAGGTGCCAGGAGCTGGGGAGGCCGGGGCACTCATTGCCGGGCCGGGGAGGATAGACCTCACTGATTCAGCCGAATCGATTTGGGACAGTGATTGGAATCACTGAATCGAAACACTGTCCCCTGAATAGGCTGAATACGAATCCAAAGCTAATACTAGCTGCTTTGCACAGGCCTGAAATCATCCTCCCAATTTACTCAGCTCTGGTGAGACCACAGCTGGAGTACTACATCCAGTATTGGGTCCCCCCCACCTTCAGGAAGGATGTGGAGAAGCTTGAGAGAATCCAGAGGAGAGCCATTGATACGATAGGGAAGGCTGTATGAGGAGAGGCTGAAGGACTTAGGACTTCTCAGTCTGGAGAAGAGAAGGCTTAGGGGGGACTTGGTGGCAGCCTACAATTACATAAGACGGGTACATCAGGACCTGGGAGAACACCTGTTCACCGGAGCTCCCCAAGGGATAGCAAGGTCTAAGGGCCATAATCTCCAGGAAGGCCAATTTAGACTAGACATAGGAAAAAAGTTCTTTACAGTGTGTGTTTCCAGAGTCTGGAACAAACTCCCCCAAGAGTGGTGCAAGCATCTATTCTGGACTCCTTCAACAAACAGGTGGATTTATTTCTTGCTGGGGTCACTTGATCCCAGCTGACTTCACACCCATGGTGGGGGGCTGGACCTGATGATCTCATGAGGTCCCTTCCAGCCCCAAATGTCTATGAAATCTATGAAA